CTTATCACCGCCGGCTTGATTTCGTAACGGTTGGCAGTAATTCCCTGCACCTGAATGCTATCATACTCTGAAACGTTTGGTGTAAGGAATTCTGCAATGGTCTGGCGCTGATAGAGTGGGTTATTGTGCGGTACATATGGATTGGGTGGAGGTGCCTGATGTCTAGGCTGGGGGGCTGGTTGTGGCTGAGTAGGTGGGACTTGGGTTTGATTTTGAAACTGATTGGGGTATGAATTTTGGTACTGGGTCTGATTTTGGAATGTAGGTTGATTGATGGGAGGTGGGTTCTGTCTCCGTTGGAAAACGGGAATACTCTGCCTTGCTCCTTGCATCCCATAAACTTGATTTTGAAAATTGGTTTCAGGAGCAGTAGGGGTATTTTGAAACAAATGATATAATGGAGGGAGATTGAATTGTGGTGAAGGCTGATTTTGGGAAAAGATCAGAGTGCGGTAATTTTGAAAACCTGGAGGGTTTCTAGGTGAAATTGGTGGTGAAGATTGGGGTGACGTGTTCACATAGAAATCTTGCTGAGATCTGGGGTTAGGGTTACCCGACATCCCTGCGGTTCCAGATGAAGACTGGTGGTCCATGTTATTATTTTTCTTTTGAGCCTTGCGGTTTTGTCTGGCGAGCTTTTCAATCTCAAGGTTAAGAGGGATTAGCTGTTCTCCCCTCTTAGAACGTGTATGCATAAACAGAGCTGACCTGCAAGGTTAGCAGACAAAAATCCTACGAAAAACTAAAAACTAATCGCTGAGTAAAATTAACCCTTAAGACCGACACCGTCCCCGGCAACGGCACCAAAAACTGATGTGAGTTTTCTCGCACTTAAAAAGATTGTAATATAGCGGTGAAAGTACGAGTATCGTCTCCACAGGGACGGTAAAAGGGAATTAAGAATTAACTAAAATCAGCGATAAAGAATAAATAAAACAAATGCGGTCGTGCGAGAATTGATTGCTTTAGAAAACTAAAATTTCAAATAAATGACTAAAAGTAAATATTTGGGTTCTTCTTAATTAACGACGAAGGGAACAAGGATTGATTCCGGGGTAATCAGATTTCTGGCAGATCAGGCTTAATTACATGAATTTAATTTAATTGAGCCTACCTAATCAATACTAAGTTCTTACCGCTCTCGCGGCGTAGAATACAATAATTTAGGGGACCAGGCTGATCTCTCATGCGACAGGATCGTAAATTATTGCCAAGACGAACGAGCTTACGGCCCCTTAATCGCTACTAATCTCTTAGCGAATGATTAAGTGTGTGTGAATGTGTCCTAGAACAAATTAGATCTCTCTTAATTTATTCTATATGCAATTGTAATTCTAGTGGCCATTCTAGGTTACAAAAGATATCAATTAAATTATTCAAACAAAAATTAAACGGCAATCATGCAATTTACACCATCAAGAATCTAGCCATACATCATGATTAACCCCTTCATCAATCCCAAATCCCTGATTAAACTACTCACAATTCATAATTGAAGAATCAACAGAATTGGGAAGAATAGAATAAATTGTCATTAATTAAAAAGATGAACTTACAAATAATCCCAGAGTCTTGGAAGAAAATAGCGTAAAAACGGTGTTAAATTCTTCCCTAGGCCTCTCCGTAATGTTTGCCACCCTAAAAAGGGTTAGGGAGGCCTTATTTATACACAAGAGGGGAAAAATCACAATTCTGGTTGATGTGGGAAATTTCCGCGCGTAACTCGGGGCTACGCACGATCGTGCGTCCATGGCTACGCACGATCGTGCGTAGCAGGCAGTAGCTCCTCCACGGTTTTGGCTCTTACGCACGATCGTGCGTCCGTGTTATTCAGCCTTTTCTATAGTCCGAAGTTGACAAAACTTCCAAAGTTTTAGATAATGAAGTCCTCTATCCACCCCAACTTGCCGAATGTGATTTGAATCACCCAATCAAGAGATATGATCAAAACGGTGGAAGGTGTCATTCTGAAATCGCAGCAGAGATCATCTGACTTCGTCATCTGTTTTCACCTTCTTGCTCTCCTATTCTCGTAATGGTTTCTTCATATGATTTGTATCCCTTGAAGTTGTCTTTCATATACAACTTGAATCATGTCCATTAGTTGTTTCTACAAAGAGATATTCTTGAATGATTGACAGAAGGTCATCCTGATCGTCGTTTTCAAGCTTCATTCATCTTCTTTTGATCCCGAAGCCAATCCTAGAGCTCTTTTGTCATCAAATCTTCATCGTAAACCTCCCGCTGACCTCCATAGCTCTCAAATCAATCTCAAATGCTTTTCAACTCATCCCGATTTCTCCTCAATCGCCAGTGCCGAACTCTAAAATCCTGATTTTGACTCCAAATGACACAAAACTCGAACCAATGCCCGGTAAACATAACTTGAGCTAAAATTGAGACTTGTAACACCTTAAAGCTAGGGAAAACCATCAAACCCGATCCCAACACGCATCAAATACATATCTAAATACGGACTTATCAACCATCATATCATCCCCCCAAATCAAAGATGAAGTCATTAAGCCACAGATACTAACTGTTTTCTTAGCCGGAGAAGATATTTTTCCGGTGAGCTTTGCCTTCCGGTGGCCGAGGACGTAGGCAAATCTTCATCTCCATGTTAACCAACAGCACATCTGGTTCATATCCGTAGGTCTCAAACCCCACCTTTTCGCACCAAATCCCCATGCCAGACCCATTCACCTCCGTTACACACCCCCATCTCAAGCTAGTATCTGGCATTACTAACTGTCAGCGACGGTGACTCAGCACTTTCTGGCGAGATCTTAAACCATTGGACAACATCCAGTAAACCATGCTCCATTAGATCCAAGAACGAATTACAGTAACGAGAATCAAACTACCCAAGAGAAAGGGCAATAACAATTCAACCTAACAGCCTCACAAATACCACCGAAGTGGTGGAGGAGTTTTCCAAAAATGACCATAGCACCTAGCTAGGAGGGCCCCGGCGGGGCCGCCACCGTGAGTGGTGGTGCCGACCTGAAAAAGAACCGGTGGGGAAGAATCTGGCCGCGAATGGCTAGAGAGAGACACTCTCGACTTCCCAACCCCACTTAGCTCTTTGGGAGTGCCTGCTATAACATGTTTCATTATATCACTAGAGGCAAAAGAATAAATTAATGGAAAGTCCCTGAAATGGAATTAAATAAGTAAGGAATGAAATTGCCAAATCAGTAATATGCAATTCCAAAATTGCTGAGTTTGGAAAATTATGTCATGTTTAAAGTCTGATATTGCCAAATCGTGGCAATAATTACTTTTACTTTGAGAATAAAAGCATGCCAATTATATTTTGAAACTTATAAAAGTTTTTAATCATATTTCGTGCAATTCCTCATAAACTATTGGATTCTTCCTAGTGTGGTTATGTTCCTTACTGATTTCATAATATTGAGGGAGATAAGTAATTTATCAAAGCTATGTGTATTGAATTTTCGTTAACAACGTTTCTTCTCTAATATTTTATCCCTTTACTGTGTCCCAATTAGTCTTTCAAAGCTTTGAAATTCCATGTGTTATCGATATACATGCACTAGGGACAATTTGGTGATATTCGTCATTCCTCAAATATGACTAAAACAGTGAAAAAATGCACAAATAGAACCTTCATATTTTATAGGACTAAAAATGAACATACTTTACAAAATTACCCTTAATGAATTTGTAAATCTATTTACAATTAAAATGAAATGAAGACTTTCTAAAACCCTAATTTCCACAGCCGCATCGAGCATTCAAGGAGTCATTATCCCCACTTCAATTCCTCTGCCGCCACTTCAATCCTGCTGCCGCCACTTCAATCCTGCCGCTGCCACTTCCAGGAATGTTACGCCGGGCACCATCGCCACCATCACTTCCGGCTTAGCAATGCCGACCCATCGCCGTCGTCGCTTCGAGCACCACCGATGCCGATTTTGATGAAAAAATGTCATGTTGCTGCAACAAAAGGGACATTTTATTAAAAATGAACATAATATTGGCAATTCCTTTAATTAAATTTAGCAATTTATCGAAGAAAACAATATTTTTATGTCATATTTTATTTAAAAAGAACATAATATTCACAATTCCTTTAATTAAATTTGACAGTTTGTCAAACAAAACAATATTTTTTTGCCATAATATCAAATGCAAATCTGCCATAGAGTTGACACTATTTTCAACTCGATGTGAAAATACAAAATTTCTGCCAGAACATTTCACACGAAAATGCCAAATATTTGGCAAAGCAAGAACCCAATATCCAAAATCAGCAAAACCAAAGTTTAAACAGAAATCGGAAATTTATTAAAATCAGAAATCATAACTACGAAATCAATGCCCAGAAAAGAGATAAATCGATGACAAAACTCAAAACTTGAATGAAATAAAAAAGTTCTACCAAAACCAATAAAATCAGTGATAATTTGATTTTTAAACGAAAAACGGAGAGAAGAAGAAGAACAGAGAAGAAGAAGCAAACCTAGAAGAAGGGAAGTGGTGATGGAAGCATTGCAGGACGGCGAGAGTGAAAGAAGGGGGTCTTGATATGGAGAACCAATGTCTTGACAGTAGCATTGTCTAGGGTTTGATACTCCCTCCGTCCAATAAAAGTTAGCCAAATTTCCTTTTTTAGCCATCCCGAAAAAAGCTTGCCAATTCCATTTAAAGTAAGGAATATGTGTCTAAAGTTATTTCTCTCTCCTCTGCACAAATTTCAACCACACAATTTTTACTTTATTAATCTACGTGTAAGACAACTTTGGCCAAGTTTTTTGGGACGGATGGAATATTATATAAAAGGGCATTATGATTATCCGGAGTCTTGTGGAATTAAAAACATGTAGTCCTATTTAGGGAATTAAGTTTAATTTTAGTCGACAATTACTATTTTCGTTAATCCCTGATTCTAAGATGATCCCCTTTTTTACTGTCGATCTTATTTTCGTTCAGTTTAGCAAATTCACTGTACCGATCTTGTTATTTTGCTTCAGACTTCACTACACTCGAGTTCTATTGGGTTCAGCGCCATTGGAATTCCACGTCCAGATAGACACTGGCAGTGAAATTTCATGGGTCAGTTGTGCATCGTGCAATGGCTGTCCACTATCTAGCGGATTTCTGGTATAATTGCAGTCTTTTTTCCCTTTTCAATTTCCCAGAATTTAAGTTTGCTGTTATCATTAAATTAAAATTTGACTGACCTAAATTTCTTTTGCAGTTCCACCTTCAATTCTTCAACCCGCAAAGCTCCTCTACATCTTCATTTATCCCATGCTCGGATCATCGGTGTGCTTCCCACAACCATGAATGTTCAAGCAGTAATAATATATGCAAATACAACTTTTCATATGGTGATGGTGGGGAGACAGCAGGTTACCACATTGCTGACAAAATTCATTTGGATATGATTAATGGAAATAAATCTGCTTCAAGTGTGATTCCCATTGTATTTGGGTGAGCCTTTTATTGTTTTATGTTTAACCAATAAATTTCGATATTCCGATGTTACAAGCTTTTCAATTGGTAGTATTTTGTTTATGGCGTAAGTTGTGATATGACAGGTGTAGTACTTATCAGCTCGGATATTTGACACAAAGCAACCTGGCACTTGATGGGATCTTCGGGTTTAATCGAAATAAAATGTCCATTATCTCGCATCTCTCCTCCGAAGGTGTCGTCCCAAAAGTATTCTCCCACTGCCTAAAAGGTGGAGAGGGCAATTTTTTTTGTGCTTGGTGAGGCAGTCGGGTTGAATCTCATGTGGACTCCCCTCGCTCCACCCAAGTATGTATCTTGTTCCTTCAATTTCATAAGCTAGATGTTCCTTTGAGATTCAAACATGCACTCGTGGTTTACTCTCATGTGTACAAAATGTTCATTATCACCTTTATACTACGTATATAATTATATTTTTCCTTTATTAAGAGTGCTACCCAACCTCAAATGAGTGGCACACTATTAAGAGTATTACTCGACCTCTAATGAATGTTTACTTTTGTCTAAATGACATTTTATGCTAGCGCATGTCCTTTCCAGTAGAGCTAGATTATGAGAAATATGTGTACACCCACTACTACAAAAAATACTTTTTGAGTCGCATATAAAGTTATACACACTAGTGTAGAAAACACTTTCTATATGGGTTAAAAAACACAATTCTAAACTTCCTTTACGCATCGCTTTAGAAGCGATGCAATAGCCACTGATGCATAAAGTAACGTGTCTATTGCATCACTCTTTAAGTGATGCAATAACTAACTTTACACCTCGCTTATTTTAATGAGGCGACTTTAAAAGTACATTTTCACATTTACTATATGCATCACTTTTAAAGTGTAGGTGACTCATAAAGTATTTATCCCGGTGGTCAGGTAAGAGAGGAACAAAGTAACCTAACTAGCCGGAGATGTCACCAATTGCCTGAGCTCAAATCAGACGACATCAAACCCACCATCCATCTTTATCCCCTCCAGGTAGCAAGTCGTTCACCAAGTAGCAGCCCACCAACAAAACTTTCAACAAGAACCTAGAGTAACCCAAGAGGGCTTCTGGTCGTCAGAAGACCCTTAACCATTCCCAACTAGTCAAACGGCCTCCTAATCCCACCATCCGTCACTCCCAAATAAGGCAAATTTCGGCGAGGTAAAGCGGCCGACCTGGTATGTAACACTGCCTGCATGCGGTCAAAACCTTCAAGGCTAGACCCACTATCAAAACAGTCAAGTCCAAGCTTGTCCAACCCGTTCACCATCATATCATCCCCCCAAATCAAAGATGAAGTCATGAAGCCACAGATACTAACTGTTTTCTTAGTCGGAGAAGGTATTTTTCCGGTGAGCTTTGCCTTCCGGTGGCCTAGGACGTACGCAAATATTCATCTCCATGTTAACGAACATCACATCTGGTTCATATCCGTAGGTCTCAAACCCCACCTTTTCGCACCAAACCCCCATGCCAGACCCATTCACCTCCGTTACACACCCCCATCTCAAGCTAGTATCTGGCGTTACTAACTGTCAGCGACGGTGACTCAGCACTTTCTGGCGAGATCTTATAAACCATTGGACAACATCCAGTAAACCATGCTCCATTAGATCCAAGAATGAATTACAGTAACGAGAATCAAACTACCCAAGAGAAAGGGCAATAACAATTCAACCAACAGCCTCACAAATACCACCGAAGTGGTGGAGGAGTTTTCCAAAAATGACCATAGCACCTAAAAGACCCGCCGGAGCTATGAGGGCCCTAGCGGGGCCGCCACCGTGAGTGGTGGTGCCGACCTGAAGAAGAACGGGTGGGGAAGAATCTGGCCGTGAATGGCTAGACAGAGACACTCTCGACTTCCCAACCCCACTTAGCTCTTTGGGAGTGCCTGCTATAACATGTTTCATTATATCACTAGAGGCAAAAGAATAAATTAATGGAAAGTCCCTGAAATGGAATTAAATCTGTAAGGAATGAAATTACGAAATCAGTAATATGCAATTCCAAAATTGCTGAGTTTGGAAAACTATGTCATGTTTAAAGTCTGATATTGCCAAATCGTGGCAATAATTACTTTTACTTTGAGAATAAAAGTATGCCAATTATATTTTGAAACTTATAAAGTTTTTAATCATATTTAGTGCAATTCCTCATAAACTATTGAATTCTTCCTAGTGTGGTTATGTTCCCTACTGATTTCATAATATTGAGGGAGATAAGTAATTTATCAAAGCTATGTGTACTGAATTTTCGTTAACAACGTTTCTTCTCTAATATTTTATCCCTTTCATGTGTCCCAATTAGTCTTTCAAAGCTTTGAAATTCCATGTGTTATCGATATACATGCACTAGGGACAGTTTGGTGATATTCATCATTCCTCAAATAGGACTAAAACAGTGAAAAAATGCACAAATAGAACCTCCATATTTTATAGGACTAAAAATGAACATACTTTACAAAATTACCCTTAATGAATTTGTAAATCTATTTACAATTAAAAAGAAATGAAGAACTTTCTAAAACCCTAATTTCCACAGCCGCATTGAGCATTCAAGGAGTCATTATCCCCACTTCAATTCCGCCGCCGCCACTTCAATCCTGTCGCTGCCACTTCCGGGAATGTTACGCCGGGCAACATCGCCACCATCACTTCCGGCTTAGCCATGCCGACCCATCGCTCCCGTCGCTTCGAGCACCACCGATGCCGATTTTGATAAAAAAATGTCATGTTGCTGCAACAAAAGGGACATTTTATTAAAAATGAACATAATATTGGCAATTCCTTTAATTAAATTTAGCAATTTATCGAAGAAAACAATATTTTTCTGCCATCTTTTTATAAAAAAGAACATAATATTCGCAATTTCTTTAATTAAATTTGACAGTTTGTCAAACAAAACAATATTTTTTTGCCATAATATCATATGCAAATCTGCCATACAGTTGACACTATTTTCAAATCGATGTGAAAATACAAAATTTCTGCCAAAACATTTCACATGAAAATGCCAAATATTTGGCAAAGCAAGAACCCAATATCCAAAATCGGCAAAACCAAAGTTTTTACAGAAATCGGAAATTTATTAAAATCGGAAATCATAACTACGAAATCAATGCCCAGAAAAGAGATAAATCGATGACAAAACTCAAAACTTGAATGAAATAAAAAAGTTCTACCAAAACCAATAACATCAGTGATAATTTGATTTTTAAATGAAAAACAGACAGAAGAAGAAGAATAGAGAAGAAGAAGCAAACCTAGAAGAAGGGAAGTGGTGATGGTAGCATTGCAGGACGGCGAGAGTGAAAGAAGGGGGTCTTGATATGGAGAACCAATGTCTTGACAGTAGCATTGTCTAGGGTTTGATACTCCCTCCGTCCCATAAAAGTTAGCCCAATTTCCTTTTTTAGCCGTCCCGAAAAAAGCTTGTCAATTCCATTTAAAGTAAGGAATATGTGTCTAAAGTTATTTCTCTCTCCTCTGCACAAATTTCAACCACACAGTTTTTACTTTATTAATCTACGTGTAAGACGGAGGGAATATGTGTCTAAACTTTGGCCATGTTTTTTTAGACGGAGGGAATATTATATAAAACGGCATTATGATAATCCGGAGTCTTGCGGAATTAAAAACATGTAGTCCTATTTAGAGAATTAAGTTTAATTTTAGTCGACAATTACCATTTTCGTTAATCCGTGATTCTAAGATGATCCCCTTGTTTTATTGTTGATCTTATTTTCGTTCAGTTTAGCAAATTCACTGTACCGATCTTGTTATTTTGCTTCAGACTTCACTACACTCGAGTTCTATTGGGTTCACCGCCATTGGAATTCCACGTCCAGATAGACACTCGCAGTGAAATTTCATGGGTCAGTTGTGCATCGTGCAATGGCGGTCCACTATCTAGCGGATTTCTGGTATAATTGCAGTCTTTTTTCCCTTTTCAAGTTCCCAGAATTTAAGTTTGCTCTTAACACTAAATTAAAATTTGACTGACCTAAATTTCTTTTGCAGTTCCACCTTCAATTCTTCAACCCGCAAGGCTCCTCTACATCTTCGTTTATCCCATGCTCGGATCATCGATGTGCTTCCCACAACCCTGAATGTTCAAGCAGTAATAATCTATGCAAATACGACATTACATATGGAGATGGTGGGGAGACAGGAGGTTACTACATTGCGGACAACATTCATTTGGATATGATTAATGGTAATAAATCTGCTTCAAGTGTGATCCCCATTGTATTCGGGTGAGCCTTTTATTGTTTTATGTTTAACCAATAAATTTCGATATTTGGATGTTACGAGCTTTTCAATTGGTAGTGTTTTGTTTACGGCGTAAGTTGTGATATCACAAGTGTAGTACTTATCAGCTCGGATATTTCGCACAACGCAACTTGGCACTTGATGGGATCTTTGGGTTTAATCGAAATAAAACTTCCATTATCTCGCAGCTTTTCTCCGAAGGTGTCATCCCAAAAGTATTCTCCCACTGCCTAAAAGATGGAGAGGGCAGTTTTTTTGTGCTTGGTGAGGCAATCAGGTTGAATCTCATGTGGACTCCCCTCGCTCCACACAAGTATGTATCTTGTTCCTTCAATTTCATAAGCTAGATGTTCCTTTGAGATTCAAACATGCACTCATGGTTTACTCTCATGTGTACAAAATGTTCATTATCACCTTTATACTACGTATATAATTATATTTTTCCTTTATTAAGAGTGCTACCCAACCTCAAATGAGTGGCACACTATTAAGAGTATTACTCGACCTCTAATGAATGTTTACTTTTGTCTAAATGACATTTTATGCTAGCGCATGTCCTTTCCAGTAGAGCTAGATTATGAGAAATATGTGTACACCCACTACTACAAAAAATACTTTTTGAGTCGCATATAAAGTTATAAACTTCCTTTACGCATCGCTTTAGAAGCGATGCAAAAGCCACTGATGCATAAAGTAACGTGTCTATTGCATCACTCTTTAAGTGATGCAATAACTAACTTTACACCTCGCTTATTTTAATTCGGCGACTTTAAAAGTACATTTTCACATTTACTATATGCATCGCTTTTAAAGTGTAGGTGACTCATAAAGTATTTATCTCGGCGGTCAGGTAAGAGAGGAACAGAGTAACCTAACCAGCCGGAAATGTCACCAATTGCCTCAGCTCAAATCCGACGACATCAAACCCACCATCCATCTTTATCCCCTTCAGGTAGCAACTCGTTCACCAAGTAGCAGCCCACCAACAAAACTGCTTCCAAAGTTACTTACCGTTGTTAGTGGCGGGGACTCTGTTTTCCGGCGCAAGTGAGCAGAGGAAACAAGACTTTCAACAAGAACTTAGAGTACCCCAAGAGGGCTTCTGGTCATCAGAAGACCCTTAACCATTCCCAACTAGTCGAACGGCCTCCCAATCCCACCATCCGTCACTCCCAAATAAGGCAAATTTCGGTGAGGTAAAGCGGCCGACCTGGTATGTAACACTGCCTGCATGCGGTCAAAACCTTCAAGGCTAGACCCACTATCAAAACAGCCAGGTCCAAACTTGTCCAACCCATTCACCATTGATGTGAATTTTCTCGCACTTAAAAAGATTGTAATATAGCGGTGAAAGTACGAGTATCGTCTAAACAGGGACGGTAAAAGGGAATTAAGAATTAACTAAAATCAGCGATAAAGAATAAATAAAACAAATGCGGTCGTGCGAGAATTGGTTGCATTAGAAAACTAAAATTTCAAATAAATGACTAAAAGTAAATATTTGGGTTCTTCTTAATTAACGACGAAGGGAACAGGGATTGATTCCGGGGTAATCAGATTTCTGGCAGATCAGGCTTAATTACATGAATTAAATTTAATTGAGCCTAGCTAATCAATACTAAGTTCTTACCGCTCAAGCGGCGTAGAATACAATAATTTAGGGGACCAGGCTGATCTCTCATGCGACAGGATCGTAAATTATTGCCAAGACGAACGAGCTTACGGCCCCTTAATCGCTACTAATCTCTTAGCGAACGATTAAGTGTGTGTGAATGTGTCCTAGAACAAATTAGATCTCTCTTAATTTATTCTATATGCAATTGTAATTCTAGTGGCCATTCTAGGTTACAAAAGATATCAATTAAATTATTCAAACAAAAATTAAACGGCATTCATGCAATTTACACCATCAAGAATCTAGCCATACATCATGATTAACCCCTTCATCAATCCCAAATCCCTGATTAAATTACTCACAATTCATAATTGAAGAATCAACAGAATTGGGAAGAATAGAATAAATTGTCATTAATTAAAAAGATGAACTTACAAATAATCCCAGGGTCTTGGAAGAAAATAGCGTAAAACGGTGTTAAATTCATCCCTAGGCCTCTCCGTAATGTTTGCCACCCTAAAAAGGGTTAGGGAGGCCTTATTTATAGAAAAGAGGGGAAAAATCACAATTCTGGTCGATGTGGGAAATTTCCGCGCGTAACTCGGTGCTACGCACGATCGTGCGTCCATGGCTACGCACGATCGTGCGTAGCAGGCAGTAGCTCCTCCACGGTTTTGGCTCTTACGCACGATCGTGCGCCCGTGTTCTTCAGCCTTTTCTATAGTCCGAAGTTGACAAAACTTCCAAAGTTTTTGATAATGAAGTCCTCTATCCACCCCAACTTGCCGAATGTGATTTGAATCACCCAATCAAGAGATATGATCAAAACGGTGGAAGGTGTCATTCTGAAATCGCAGCAGAGATCATCTGACTTCGTCATCTGTTTTCACTTTCTTGCTCTCCTATTCTCGTAATGGTTTTTTCATATGATTTGTAGCCTTTGAGGTTGTCTTTCATATACAACTCGAATCATGTCCATTAGTTGTTTCTACAAAGAGATATTCTTGAATGATTGACATAAGGTCATCTTGATCGTCGTTTTCAAGCTTCATTCATCTTCTTTTGATCCCGAAGCCAATCCTAGAGCTCTTTTGTCATCAAATCTTCATCGTAAACCTCCCGCTGACCTCCATAACTCTCAAATCAATCTCAAATGCTTTTCAACTCATCCCGATTTCTCCTCAAGCGCCAGTTCCGAACTCTAAAATCCTGATTTTAATTCCAAATGACACAAAACTCGAACCAATGCCCGGTAAACATAACTTGAGCTGAAATTGAGACTTGTAACACCTTAAAGCTAGGGAAAACCATCAAACCCGATCCCAACACGCATCAAATACATGTCTAAATACGGACTTATCAGATTCCCCCACACTTAAGTTTTTGCTTGTCCTCAAGCAAACTGAACAATGGGGTTTACGATAATCACCACACGGAATCAAAACAATTAGCATGCACATGTAGTTAAAGGGGTATTCACAGAACAGACAAATTAAACCAAGAAAATTCTTCCCTAAACTACATCTTTGTACTCTAGCTAAAATATTTGACAAAGTTATTCACAACATCCTCAAAGTAATGACAGCATACACAAATAAACTAGTTATTGATTAGAAGGACTTGTGAAGGTAATGGTGAATGGTGATAAGGAGTCCCTTTTTTTTTAGAATATTAAAGTGATTTTATTTTATACGTAGTATATGTCTTTGTATATAGTACGTACTTTATGTGATCGTGTCATAGTCGAACATACAATAAAATGAAAGTATTTGGTTCAATCCAATTAAATCAATCATAACAACAACATCTAGGAGGTTTATAGTCACGGGAAATGCATATTCCTTTACTTGTACCCTTCAACTTCTGACAACTCACAATGCACTCCGGGTTCCCGCTGCATGGGGGATGCGCCACGGGAAGACAATTCCACGGATCATTAAGATAGTATAATGCATTTCTTTGGGCATTCACAACTGAGCCAGATGCCAGAATCATCACTATAATGAAGCAGAGGGTAACCATACAAGCACATGCTTTACCCCCCAAACGTAGATTAAACCCGGTCATGCTTCTTACTTTGCTGGATTTAACGTCTCAAATAAGCGGTTCCTTTCTTTTGAGAGATTGGAATATTCTAACAAAGACTCAATGCATTCAGAAACTTCAGGGCTATTCTTAGGATCAAGGAACTCAGTAGGCCACAATTTAGGAAGAATCATCTAAACCTATGCAGTGGCGGACCCAGAAACTCAGAATCACGGGGTCCCTAGTGTAATGTAACTCTAATTAATAAAAAATTAATAAAAAGAAGAAGTAAAATATTAAAATAGCACAACGTTTCATAGTTAACGTATACAACAATTTTAAAGATATTCCAATATTTTAAAGAAATGTCCACTATCAACTAGAGTCCGTTTGGTAACACTGAAATTGGCTGAATCGGTTGATTCTACCGAAATTTATGAAGTTCTGACTGAAGTGGCTGTATTAACTGTTTCTGGTGATTATGAAAAATTATATTTAAAATATATTATATTAATAAAATAAAGAAGAAATGATATGAAAAATAGATAAAATGATCATCTACAACAATTTCAGTTAATACAGTCTGAAAAGTAACTTCAACCTTAATTTTCTTATTATTACACAATTCAGCGCGCAAAATCAAAAGTTACATGTTTGGTTAAAAAGTTGGTTGATAAGCCTGATAAGTCGAAAAACAGAGTCACTAAATGGGCACTAAAATTTTATAAAGTTAATGTCCTCTATCAACTAAAAATAATCGGCATGCATATGAGAAATCAAATTTAAAAAGCCTACATTTGAAAATTTCGATCCAATTACTTTGCATTATTTTATTTGGATTTTTATTTAAAATATATTCATTAGCTTTGTTTCTAATTTAATTTAATACAATTACCAATTTATTTGTGTAACTTTAAGGACTTCTTTATTGGACTAATTTTAGTCTTAGATCAAATCACATCAAGCCAAATTATGTGATTATGGCTCAAGCGACCGAATCTGCTATATTAGGAAAGAATGATATTTAAATTATATGTTATCAGATATGAAAAAGTCATATGAAAAAATGACTAAGATGATGCTCTACGGTAACTTCAGTAATCTCGCCGAAAAAATGTTTTTAACTTGCTTATTTTAATTATTACAAATTCAGTGCGTGAATTCAAGAATTACGCCAAATAATGCGATTATGGCTCAAGCGACTGAATCTGCTATAGTAGGAAAGAATGATATTTAAATTATATGTTATAAGATATGAAAAGGTCATATGAAAAAGTGGTTAAGATGATGCTCTACGGTAACTTCAATCATCTGGTCGAAAAAATGCTTTTAACTTGCTTATTTTAATTATTACAAATTCAGTGCGTGAATTCAAGAATTACGTGTTTCATAACGAAATTAGTTTATAAAACAGATAAGCTGAAATTTGGAGATACATACTGGCTTTACAGTAGTATTTCTTATGAAAAAATTGGGCATAGGTTGAGAAAATTAGATGCTTTGCAGTAGTATTTCTTAGGGAAAAAATGGGCATAGGTTGAGAAAATTAGATTAAAAGTTGGACAATAGAGGTGCATGATAACAATAGGTGGTTGGTTGTTCCATAATTTTATTTTCAAAAAAATAGACACCTCATATCTGAAATTATATGTTATAAGATATGAAAAAGTCAT